GACCGGTTCAGACCGGCTGGACCGGTTCAGTCAGTTATTGTCAGTTTCAGTCCCGGTTTTCAGTTTCAGTGTTATTTTCAGTTAAATTCCGGGTCAAGTTCAGTTCAGTTATTTAATTGCCAACTCAGTTTTCGTACTTAGCCGGTTTTAGTTATTCTGATTAAGTCCGAATGTCATGTCAAATTCGAAAGAGCATCTTAACATAATTAAACAGTTAAATTATCAGTTTGAGCATAGTCAATAGTAATTGTTTATATTATTTTCAGTTTGATCAGGCATCAGCACTACCATTCAGTTTCAGTTTCAGCAAATTCAGGTGGGGACTCAGACTAAGTACTACATGGTTTATAATTACGTTACCATGGTCGAGGTATGTATAATCAGTATCCGCTCGGAATTGTCGCCGGTCCATTTTGAGTTCTAGTGGCCTAATCTAACCACTAGAGTGTGCACATGGTCCGGTATTAGTTTTTGCCGGGAGATTTCAGTTATCAGTTATGCGACTTATGTTGCGAGATTCAGTTATCAGTTACGTGACTTATGTCGCGAGATTCAATTATCAGTTACGTGACTTATGTCGCGAGATCAGACCGGTTATCAGTTATCAGATATCAGTTTCAGATTCAGTTCAGTTGTATATGCTTAGTTCATGATATTGTTATTATTTACGATGTTTTACATTAGTATGAGTTTCTGCGGAGCACAGTGCCTTAGTGCTCACGCCCCACACCTTTCATGTTTTTCAGGTCGCAGGGTCGGAGACGAGGAGTGAGCGGGCGAGCTGTTCAGGACATTTATGATTATTGTATTTTATGTTGAACCACGATATGTTTCCGCTAAAACTTTTCAGTACTTATTATCAGACTTTGCTCCGACATTAGTCGGATAAGACATTTTGACCGTTTTTATGTATCAGTTTAAATTTTAACGGTTTTCAGAAAATCAAGTTTTTCACGGTAGCCCCCGAATCAGTTTTCGCAAAATAAGTATTTTATTTATTTATTCAGAAAATTGCGAAAAATCGCGTACTCTGATGTAATAGCAAGTCGGGGTGTTACAACTTGGTATCAGAGCGCACGTTTCTGCTTCTCTGAAAAGTTTTTCAGTCAAAAAAAAATTTTCAGAAAAACCTGAACCGTCACGCTCACGCCTCGCCGACTCCAGGTAAGTGCTGATTCAGTTTTTCAGTTATAAACATATTACTTTGTCTATGCTCAGAAATCAGTAATCAGACTTAGTTAAGATGCTCGATTCAGATTCAGACTTTAGAGTTCGGATATAACTCTAGAATTCAGTACATTCAGACCTGACTTTAGAAATCAGTATATTCAGGTATGACTCTAGACTTTAGTATCCTCCGATATGACTCTAGAGTTCCTCAGGTTTCATGTCAGTATTTATCGGCCATTTTTGGCAACTCGTCAAGAGATCTGTGTGCCTTAGTAATCAGTCAGTATATCATCATGTGTTCAATAATTTTGAACTTTTTCAATGTTCAGATGCCGCCACGTAGGGAACCCGATCATCCGGCTCCTACTCAGGCTACAGTGGTCGCCCAGTTCCGCGACTACCACGCTGAAAGGTTCTCAGGGCAGGGAGATCCTCGCGTAGTTGACGAGTGGATTCAGGGCCTGGAGTTTATCTTCGAGGTCATGGAGTGCCCTGAGAGATATCGCGTCATTTGCGCAAAGCTTCAGCTCACCGGTGATGCCAGGCTCTGGTGGAACGCTTACTGGGGCATGCGTCCCGGCGAGAAGGCGGGATGTACGTGGGAGATGTCCAAAGATTTAATCCGCGAGAAGTACTATCCCACATACTACCGAGCAGAGATGGAGCGTCAGTTTCTATCGCTCCAGCAGGGTACTCGTACTGTCGACGAGTACGAGAGGGAGTTCACGAGACTTGCAGCTTTTGTTCCCGATTTGGTCCGCACGGAGGCCCAGCGAGCGCAGCGTTTCATTGACGGGCTTTACCCAGCAGTCCGTCATAACATCGTAGGCCACGGGACACAGACTTATGCACGTGCAGTCTCCATTGCTCAGGAGGTGGATGCTAGCCTTAGGAGGGAGGCCGTTCGCGGTCAGTCAGAGCGGACTATTCAGACGCTTGAGGATATGCTTCGCGCTTTGGTTGTTGACAGGGGTGCCAAGTGGGAGTCGTTGTTACCTTACTCAGAGTTTGCGTATAACAACAGCTATCATTCTTCTATTCAGATGGCTCCTTACGAGGCACTTTACGGTCGCAAGTGTCGTTCCCCTCTCTATTGGGACGACGTCGGAGAGCGACGAGTACTCGGTCCCCAGTTGATCGAGGAGACAGCAGATCAGGTCGAGTTGATCCGGCAGAGACTCAGGAAAGCTCAGAGTCGTCAGAAATCTTCCGCCGATCATAACCGGCGAGACATTCAGTTCGAGGTTGGCGAGCTAGCCTTTCTCCGAGTTCGTCCGATTCGCGGAGTTGTGCGATTCGGAAAGAGAGGGA